TAAAATACGTATATTGTCTGAGATGTGAAAATTTTAAATAATCACTTCTTTTGCGATATGACTTTAACATATTAATGAAGTCCGTTCACACTGTTGGATAAGGGTGGAGTTTAGCTGTCCCTCCCCCGTAATTATGTTTCGTAATTCCAAACTGTGATATTAATAAATCTGACATAGGAATAACTTCGCATATATTTTTCTGTTACTTTACTTATTCATCTTTTGATTTCTTTTTATTGTCATACATTTTGTTTCTTCCTAAATCTTTCAATATTCAACTACCAACTTTATATATTAACTATACTGTTTAATAACTGGTACTCAGTGGTGCTTTCCATTGCAATAAATACAAGAATGCATATTTTTATATTTTATCGCAAGTTCTTATGTGATTAGAGAATCGAGATTTCGAAATTTTTGAAGGCTGGAACAGGAGATGCTGCGATTTCACGCTATTCTTCAGTATTTTGGAACTCGGGAGCCAAAATAGGTAACGTGATGGGTAAGTGCAGTTTTGCGACTACAGCGCCATCTAGTGAAATAAAATTCGTTCGTGTTTCGAAAATGGTCTAATTTATCGACTAAGGGGTCGAACCAAGAAACTGATATTTGCTAATATGGTTTATGAATAGTCAGGACAAAAACATGCACGGGGTCTGAGGCAATATCTGAAACTTATTTTCTGGATAAGCGTCCCGTTTCAAAAATATTGTGTTTAATTTCTTACTCAACGCTAAATAATTCAAAAAATGTCTCTAATAAAAAATTTTTAGTCAAACATCTCTATCGCTTCTCGGCCTTTTGGCTAAGATCAAAGTGTAGTATCTGTTCTTATCAGCTTAATCTGACGTCTTATTTTGTTCTTTTTTCAGATTTCCAGACACCATGCTGATGGAATAGTTTACTCGTCTGGTGGACGGAGCTGAAAGCGGAGTCGAGGTGGATCCTACGTAAGTTTTGCTTTCTTTCTCTCTCTCTCTCTCTCCTCTCCCCTCCCATTGACGCTTGATGGTTCGAATACGTTCTTTACTTGCGTTCAATGGGGCCCTTTCACCTGTGAGCGTGCAGGTTGCCTGTGAGCGAGCAGGTTCTTTCCCGTCTACACTGATTATACTGCTTGCAGTATATTTCGGTGCTGGGCGGGGCCTAACTTTTTCTTCTCCCTCCTTTCTTACTGCTTCGGCTGTTTTTCAGTCGTCCCTAGTGAGAAATGGTTTCTTTTCTATGTCTTCTCGCTTTTCATTTCAGAAATACTCCGTTTACGGTGTCTTTTCTGTTTTGATAAGCCCTGAAACTTCCTTTCCGCTGCCTCACTCGTCCGGGTGGGCGTGGCTTCGACTTTACTCTCTCCCTACTTTTCCTTCCTTCTTTCTTTTGCTCTTTTACCCTCGTTTTCCTTCTTCTTTTGCTCTTTCCCTCCTTTTCTTTTCCTCGTTCTTATCTTCCTTTCTTGGGTCCACCAAAAGCTCCAATTGAAGCTCCCCCCGCTGCCTCACTTTGATCTTGCCAATTGGATAATTTGCTAGTTATTTGTGTTACTGTTTCTTTAGTTTTTTCAGCTATGTCTGATCCTGCGTCAGCGCACCAGATCATTTTGCCAGAGAGGCCGCCTCGCCTTCCTTCTCCGACTACTCCTGGTCTCCCTCCGATGCCATCTGTCCTTGGTGGACTGCCACAGAGTGCTGGATGCCCCGATGGATCGCTGGACACGACGCCACGCAGACCTCTGAGCCATTTGCCCGCTTCTGGTCACTCCTCCGTGATGACAACGCGGTCTGGTAGTCTTCACCCTGCTCCTGCTCCACGTCGCCACATCTCTGCCGCTGCTGTTCCCTCTGGTCCTCCTCTGCTGAGAAGTGGTTCCCTGTGCCAGATGCTCTCCATCATCTCTGCCAGGACGTCTGCCTCCTCTCGCATCTGCAATGATGTCTTCGCTTCCCGCTCCCGGACTTCGCCTCCTTCGGAAACGCTCACTGCACCGCTCGTGCCTCTTACTTCGGCTCCATCCTTACCTTCTCCTGGCTCCATCCCTGCTACCAGTGCCCCTTCTTCAGATTCCCCAGTGTGTCACCACACAAGATCACGTGCTGCTGCTGGACACTCCTGCTCGCACACTTCTCCGACCAAGTCTCCTGTTGCTGCTGACACGCTGGTTGCTCGATCTGCCACTTCTACTTCTCCTTCGGGTAGTCCTACAGTTCGTTCGCCGTCCTCTGCGATCTCTGCTGATGAAACTCCTAGTGCTTCCTCCTCTCCTGTTCCTGCTCCTGCAACTTCTGGCGACAGAGCGTCTCTCCTGCTTTCCGACGAATCTGCTTCTAGGCGGGGGTCTCCTTCACGCCCGGATTCTGGTATTTCTCCTCCTGCTGCTGTGCCCGCGTCTCCTGGTGTCTCCACTTGCTCTTCTCCGGTTGACTGTCCAACGTGTGGTAAGTCGTTCCTCAACAAGAGACAGCTACGCTTTCACCGCTTCCGCCGTCATCGCCTTGCTCCTCCTCCCTCCTCTCCTGGTGCTGCTGACTTCTCTTCCACTGGCCATCCGCAGCTCCCGTCTACTTCTCTTCAAGCCTCACCGCCTCCTTCCAATGCTCCATCTTCAGGCGCTCCTATTCCTTCTACTACCTGCCGCGAGGGTTCCACGCTCCATCTCGTCTTTCCTGTAAGCGATGTCTTCATGTGCACAGAGCCCAATTGCAGCCTCCTGTTCCGCTCCAACTCCTGGTCCTGTATGAAGAGATCCCTCACCAGACACCTTCTCCAGGAACATCTGACCCCCATTTCTTCATGCATGAAATGGTGCAGCCTTTGCAACTCCCGGCTAGCCAACAAGGTTTCTGTCCATGCCTGTTTCCGCACCTCTCCTCCCGTCATCTCCACTGGTGCCTCTTTCCGCTGGAAGTGTACAGTTTGTCCGTTCTCCTGTCCTTCCCGGAAAGGGTTATTCAACCACTCCGAATTCCACCGGCGTGCTGAGAGGAACTCTTCCATTGACCACGACATTCCTCTTCCTGCTCCTGTGCCTCAGCGACAGCGCCTTAGACAGCCGCACCCTCCACCTGGTGCCTCTTCTTCACCCGCTGATGTGTCCTCCAGATCTCCGGCTACGTCCGCTCCAGCTCCTCCCGTGACTTCTGTGGACGCTCCTTCTTCACCTGCTCCAGTCCCATCTCCTTGCTCTTCCGATTCGTCTGCTGTATCGGCCTCTCACTCCCTGCCTCCTTCTCCTCATGACGTCTCCAGGACTACTCCTAATGCTCCTCGCCCAAGGCTTCTTCATCCCTCTTCGGCCGCTCCTCCTGCTCCAGTGTTGACTTCTGCCTCGCCTGCTGCCTCCTCCTCCCTTGCTGTTGTTCCTCCAGATTGCCTCGTCTCTGCATTTCCTTCCTCCTCATCGTCACCTGCTCATGACACAGTCTTCTGCCGACTTCTCCGCTTCCGAGTTTCCTGATGTCAACCTTCATGAGGTTGTCCCCGTTGTGGCCGCTGATGACCCTGCTCGTATTCCTCCTGCTGACGAAATTCCTGTCACAGAGCCTGCTCTCCTGAACTTCTGGGATTCCCTGCACAGCTTTTTTCTTCTGGGATTACTGACGACGACGCTTGGGACTCCTTTGAGGCCTGCCTTCTGAACGTCACGGAGTCTGCCTCAGAAATTGTCAAGCTCCCTCCTCCTTCTCCTCCTGTGCCTGGTTCTCCGCGCCCGGTCAACACCTCTAATCCTCGGGTCATTCAACGTTTATACCGGAGAAATCGTTGCAGAGCCATCCGTCTCCTTTCCTCTGACAGCTCTCCTCCTTGCTCCATTCCTGCAGAAGAGATTGCCCTCGAATTCTCCTCAAGGTACTCCGCCAGGGACTCCGACTCCTCTATCTTCACTACCTGTATATCGGAACGTCCTCCTCTCGATTTGTCTCCTTTCTCTCCTGCCGAGGTTCTTGCCAAGCTTCGCTCCTGTGAGAACTCTGCGCCCGGCCCTGACCGCCTCTCGTATGCCCACTGGCGAGACGCTGATCCAGACTGCAAGATCTTGTGTGAGATATTCAACATCTGTCTTCGCTTCCGGCGTGTTCCGTCTTCATGGAAATCTTCCCGCTCGTTCCTCATCTTCAAGAAAGGGGACCCGTCGGTGATTGACAACTGGAGGCCAATTGCCCTCAGTTCTTCAATTGCTTGCCTTTTCTCTGGATGTCTAGCGAAACGGCTCACGCACTGGTTATGTGACAACGAGATTCTCCACCCCTCACAGAAAGGATTCATGCCGCACGATGGGGTTCTTGAGCACAACTTCATCGTCCAGCAGCGGTTCCAGCTTGCCCGTAGGACGAAGTCTGAGCTCTGTCTGGCCTCTCTCGACATTGCCAACGCCTTCGGCTCGGTCCCGCACTCTGCGATCTTCACTGCACTACTCACGTCTGGTGTCGGGGAGGACTTCGTCTCCTTAATCCAAGACCTCTACAGGAATTCCTCTACCTGCTTCCTCTCTTCCGACGGTGTTTCTGGCCCTGTTGACATCAATGCCGGTGTTCGTCAGGGGTGTCCCTTGAGCGGCCTCCTGTTTAACCTGGCCATTGATCCTGTTCTCCGCTCTGTTGGCTCTTCTCCTTCCTCGCCTCGTGTCCTCGCCTTCGCTGATGACGTCCTCCTGCTCGCTCCTTCTCCCAACGTTCTTCAGGATGACCTGGATCGCATTTCTGACGTCTTCTCTCGTCTTGGTCTTCAGCTTAATCCCGGTAAATGCCACACTCTTCACCTTGATGCTTCTCGCCCTGCTAGAGGTGCGTCCGACCGTCTTCTACCTGGATGGCATCCCTATCCACGCCCTTGGTGATGGTGATCACTTCCGTTTCCTCGGGAAACCCGTGGGCTTCCACCTTCCACCTCTCCGTGCTCAGCTACGTGATTTCTTGATCCTGGCTAAGAAGATTATGGACTCGAAGCTCGCTCCGTGGCAACGCCTGGATGCACTGAAGACTTTCTTTTTTCCCTCTCTCCTCTTCTTCATGAGGACTTCGCAGCACGCAAAGGGAGACTGGAAGAAGATTGACGATTTTCTGCGTCCTGCCCTCAAGAAGACCCTGAATCTTCCTCCCGAGGCATCTAACAACTATCTTTATGGCCTTTCCGGCAAAGGTGCCCTTGGCATTCCACTCGCTGCGGAGGATTCAGACATCGCTGCCGTCGACTCTGCTTTCAAGCTGCTTTGCGCTAGAGATCCCTTTGTTCGTGCTTCCGCCTGGGATGATCTGACCTCCTTCGTCCGTGCACGCATCGGATTCGCTCCTTCTCCTGAGTTAGTGGCACAGTTCCTGTCTGCATCCGACGAAGCTCCCTTTGCCGCCTCTTGCAATTCCATCTCCTCTACGTGGTCTGCCGCAAGGTCCGCATCTCGGCGCCTCAAGATTGTTTGGACTATCGATGCTGGTGGGTCTCCCTCTATTTCCTGTGGTCCTAACACCATCTTCCCGAGCCAGAAGCACACCATCTTCCGGGCCTTCCGGACCCTAAGACGGGCTACCCGTATTAGTGACCTGTCCCTCCTCCCGAACCAGGGTAAGGCCATGGAATGTGTTGCCGTCTCGCGCTCGAGCTCGCACTTCTTCAGAGAGGGGTCCTTCACGCGCTTCGCGGACTGGAGATTTGTTCACCGTGCCAGGCTGAACCTGGTACCTCTCAATGCCTGCAAGCCCTGGGACCGTTCACGCCGTGGATGTCGCCGTTGCAATTTCAGTGAAGAAACGCTCCCACATGTCCTCAACCACTGTATGCGTTATTCTTCCATCTTCCAACGACGTCACAATGCTGTGGTTGAACGGCTGAAGAAGGCCGCGAGTGGGCGCTGGGATGTGCTCTTCTGCAACCAAGTCTTCCCTGGTACTTCTCTCCGCCCCGATCTGGTTCTTCGCAAAGGCTCCTCCGCTCTGGTAATCGACGTCACCATCCCGTTCGAGAATAGGCTTGCTGCTTTTTCTTCCGCCAGAGAGGAAAAGATTTCCAAGTACCGTCCGGTTGCTGAGCTGCTCAGGAAAGACTACACCGATGTTCAGATCCATCCCATCATCATTGGTTCTCTCGGCTCTTGGGACGACAAGAATGATAGAGTGCTACGCAGGCTGTGCAGCAACAAATACGGAAACCTTTTGAAGAAACTCGCAGTTAGCGAAACTATTAAATTTTCTAGGGACGTATATGTTGAGCACCTCACTGGGGTAAAACAGTCCTAATTAGACACTGTTGGACTCAGTGACTGCTTGTCAAGATGCGATCATGGGACAACATTTGTATAAAGGACTTTCACAGTTATGCAAATTTTGTAAATATGTAATATCTCTCCACAACAAATAAATATGAAATCTAAAATCGCACTGTGTGCGTTGTTGGTATAGCATGCCATGGTCTTACCAACACTATGTAAAATGGCAAGAAACATTGTTAATAAAAAAATTTTCTGTTCTTATCAGCTTAATATCTGATACGACGTCGACATGACGTCAAGATATTAAACTAATTTTTGCAGATAGGCTTGTGGTTAGGAATTTATTCCGCCCTCCCACGGGTTGGCC